ATGGGACGCTTACATCCGCTATTGCACGTGGAGAATTCAAGCCTGCGATGGATGCATGGCAAGTGTTAGCTATTGGTGAGTTAATGGTTCCATTCAGAGAGTCTCTGAGTAAGTGTGCGGGGATGAGTGGGTGTGAACGCGAGCTACACAAGTAAGTGTTGAGGGCAGGCTGGTCATTGTTTCGGTTTTCCTGTTATACCGGCTTAAAGCTGACGACAGGGATTTCACGATACACAGAACTGTCAGAACCTTTTCCCGGTGTTTAAATCGCAGATTCTTAAAAAAGAATCAGTCTACGGAACAGATGAGGATCTAACAGTATAAAATTACACAAATCAAACTTTCTTAGGCTACAAAAATATATTTATCAGCAATTTTCTTTTGGGTCAGCTTAAAGCAACCAAGCAAGCAAACAAACAAACAAAAGCCAAGAAATCTTGCATGGTCTGATCTGACTTGAGACCTGGACATAGAATATTCAATAATGTACTTGTTAAAGATTTATAAAGAAAGAAAAGGGCAGGAGGAGGTGCAGAAACAGCACTCGGCAGCACTCGGTACACGGGAGTACCTCAGCGTCTCTACTGCCTAAAGCACTGCACACAAGCACACCCCTCTCTGCTTGATCTCTTCATAACAGCCTCTCATAAACCGCTCTGCCTCTCAGCACTCACGTACGTCCTTATCCAAAGGCACAGTGGGCACACGGGACACAAAGGCACTCACTGTGGAGGTGAAGAAGGACGGGCTGGGGATTCATTGGAACCCATAAAGCTTTTCTATGGAGACCAAGAATCAATGACGCCATTGTACGAGACCACGGCTCTACAAGTGTGGACTAGCTATAGGCCTTCTCAGAGCAACAGGACTCTGAGAAGCCCAGGGGACTCCAGGGGAGCCCTGTCTCGGGTATAAGTGTAGTCCCCCCCCCCCAGACCCACTAGGTTTCTGGCTGCAGGGAGTGGCTACCAGTTAGTGGGGGTACTTGCTTGCATGTTCCAAGTTCACATGGGCTGGTTCACTGGTTTGAGCTTTGAGGGCTCCAAGTGAAGCCTAACACACACCACTGCCTCCGTGGGTCCAGGAGAAAGCAGCTTTATTTATTTATTTATTTATTTATTTTTACAACTTAAATACTGGTTTCCAGAATTACAACTGAATATAAAAAACTTTTTTTTTTTTTTTTTTTTTTTTTTTGGTCTCAAAAGACAGACAGAGTGGTAAAACATTTGAAGCCCAAAACCATAAAAACATCTGGAGTGTTCTTACAGCAGAGCTACAATCAGAAGTACACGTGCATCTCAACAGGAGTAGATGGCATTGAAAATGCAGATTCCCCCAGGGTTCACGCAGACTTAACAACCACTGTGAATTATCTCAACAGAGACTCAGAGTCACGTGTGTGGAACAGGAAAAGTGCTGTAAAAGCAGGGTGAACATGCTCCAGACTTGAGGATTTTTACCAGAGGACACCGAGATGCCACTGGCTGGGAACAACACCTCAAAGGCCATGCCCCGAGCTCTCCGGTTCAGCTGCTGTATCTAACTCTGGACATTTTTCCCAGGTTCTGGTAGGAGTGTGACAGTTAAAACTCACAAAGGCCGGCCCAGCTCACCCTGGATGCCCACCTCGCCTGCCTCAGGCACGCCAGACATGGCCTATGGACACACACACACAGGCTGGGAATGGAGACTGCAAGAACTGCTTTCTGTAAGTTATCAGATGCACGGAAAACCAAGGAGAAGGAGGCTGCAGACTCTTTTGAACCCAACAAAAGAAATTTTCTTCCTTTAAGGAATGCCTTGTCACTGCAAGAACATTTCCTTTAAAACATGCTACTTCATATGGTGCTGCTGTGCTGAACATTTTATTTCTTAGAATAATGGAGTTATATAAACTTTATTCACATGCATATACCTTAAGGTATCAGCCCTTATTCTCTAATGGTGATACATAATTTGTGTTCAGTCTTCGAGTCAAAAGCTAATGTGCTCTTCTAAAGCCGACAGATCACGCGCGGAGCACACTACTGAAATCACAACTTGTAGCCAGCCCCACAGAGATGGCCTGGCACTGTCCTCTGTGGGCCACTCATGCTCTTGCCTTTTGGTTGCAAAATTTGTTCAAACTAAATAATAGGCATTTGAAACAACAGAAAAAGGAAGAAAATCAGGGTGAATGGAGAAACATTCTAGGAGCCAGAGAGAGGAAACAGCTGGGAGGGAATTTGGTTAGAGCCGTGGACGGGCAGATGTGGAGCATAGGGAGCATAGAAATGAACATCAAGGAACATCCCAAGAAGATTCAAAGGAGAAATAAAGACCTTAAAGACAGCTCGCTGGCAAGCAGGAATGACCAGAAAGAGAAACTTAGGAGAGGCCAGGGGAGGCCAGGGGGACATTCTAATCACTCATGTGGTGGCACAGTCTCTTAACTTACTGTTTTCTTGTTCATAGCCCAGCGCGGGCGGACTGTGCTGCTTTTCGGGCTGAAACTCTGAGCTGATATTTCCATTGGACTCTGCCCCCCCCACCTTTCCCCCATTTAGTGCCTGGGACGATTTCTTTAAGGGGACAACAAATGCGTCCTGGAAGATGACATTCTTTCCACACAGCTCAGGGCCTGGCCTGCTGCCATGGCTTGTTTCCCTTTCTCAAGACAGCCAGGAGGTTCTGTTTTTCACCAGGCAGTAAAAGCTGCATCCGCCTATGGAAGGAAAACGGTCCAGCTCTGGCACAGTTAGGGCAGGCCACTTAGCCAAAGCCACTCAGATCTGGCTCACAGACCAGTCAACCAAATCTACCTAGTTCAGTCCAGTCTGGTCTAACCCAGGGCAACTGAGGGAGGCCTGGAGGCGGCGGACACCTGAGGAGCGGAGGACAGGGAGGAGGAGAGAAGACAACAGCTGGCTCCAGAACACACGCACCTGACCTCATGCACACTCCCTCATGCACACTCGCTCAAGTCTTGTCAAACTAGTGAAAGCAGAGACGGCCACAGTGGAACCCAGAAAAGGGCAGCTGAGTTAACTTGTTTGTCCAACGGGCATTTTCAATTTTGTTTTCACTTTAATTTTAAGACAGGGTCTCTTTACATGGCCCTCCCGGGCTGTCCTGGAACTACGTAGACCAGGCTGGCCCTGAACTCACAGAGATGCGCATACCTTTGCCTCTTGAGCACTAGGATTTAAGGCGTGAGTCACCGAGCCAGGTTCAGGTTCCGCACTTTTTTTTTTTTTTTTTTTTAAATAATAGCTTATCAGAATCGACACTGAGTGATCTATTGAGGTCCCCATCCACAACAGCTCAAGTCCTAGCACTGGCCTTATGTTGAACGCTCTCCCAGAGTGTCACCCACATTTTAGAATTAGGGGGCACATGCCCCCTAGAATCTGTGCCCTTCAGAGCCTATCCTAACGCTCTGGGTCACAGATCTCATCGCTCACATGGCCCTTCAAAGTGCCTGTCTTGTCGAGTCAAGCTCGGGACTTCTCCCTGGTGTAACGGAAGAGCCCCCAGAAGTGCGGACAGCAACACAAACACTCGGCCACCAGGCACATCCAGTGCCCCTGCTCTCCTATCCACCTTCGAGCCCTTTAAAACCGCTACCCGGCACTGTATAGGAAGAAAGTTAGAGGCACATCTCCCACTGGCCTACTAGGATACAGTGGAGGGCTGGCTGGGGGGAGGGGGAGGGCTGCCACTGTGCAGGAAGCTGCATGCCTCCGCTGGTCTCCACTCCCCACTTCCAAGACCCGGTTAGCCGCTTCAGAATTTGGTCCAAGCAACGGCATAATACTCGATAATGGCTTCTCCTTTTCCTATGCATGGCTGGTCTTACTTCTTGTTTAATAATTATACCTACAGACATCTGTTCCACTGCTAGGCATAAAACAATGCTTTTCATTCTTTAGATATTTTACGATCTCATTCGCCAGTCATAAACCTTTTAAAGCTACTCAAATTGTGAGAGATCAACAACCACGGCCTGCCATAGCATGCTAAGGTACAAACAATCCCAAATCCTTCTGTTTAAAAAGAGTATTTTCTTACCACCGTTCAATTGGGTTATCACACAGGGCTCTCTTCTTTACTGGGGGGAAGGGGGGTCCTCACACACTCCAGGCCTCTTGCATGCCAGCAACAATATGACTAGTTGGTCTTTTTCTTTGTTTTGCCAGGTCTCCTCCGAGTGTCCCTGAGTGCCCTGACGTGCACCCTGAAGCCCCACATGCTCATTACTGCAGGCTTCATGCACGCTCTCGGACGCCACGATGCCCATACTAAGGCAACAAACACACCACGGAAGCTGGCAGCATCACTATCAGCAAGAATTTGGCTTCCAAACTCAGTGATTCATCATCCATCCCAGCAGAACAACACACCACCGCTATTTTGGTCCCTGGACGCTATTACCACCACCACCCCCAACTGCAAAAGTATATTTAAGCAAAGATGACAAACCAAAACATGCCATCAGCATTTACCTCCCTTTTCAGTGAGAAAGGGGGCTAATAGGCTACTCACCTGATTGCAAAATATTTATCACATGATGAATCGAGTTTCAACCTCACGTACTCACAAGGGGAAGCAGGGAGCAAGGTTTACAAACCACCGTTAAAATCCTAAATTCGGGGAGGAAATATTCTCTTGCTGGGCAGAAAGGAAAATCGTTGGTCCTGACATGTCTGGAATTCCCACTTCTCCCACTGCCCCATCCCCATTTCCCACAGGATTCCGGGTAGTGGGTGCGTGGGTGGTGTGCCGTTGTCTGTGGGGGTATGCCGGGAAGAAGCTTGCGTTTCGCAGGGGCACAGCTGCACCCGACAGGCCCCCATCCCGGTCACGGCGGGCACCCCCCGTTTATCTATCGGAAGGCTTTCTTGTGAAATTTAACACAAACTCCCCCAAACGCTGATTCTAGCAGCAGGGGCTGAGTCCTGGGCACAAGGCGGCACGCAGGAGCCCCCGCCAGCAGCGCCCTCCTCCAGGGCCCCTACCTTTTCAAAGGCGGCTTCTCGCTTCCCTCGCTTGCGTTTTCGGGGTCTGCGGTTCAGTCGAATCCACTTCGCCACCTGAAGTCAAAACCCAACAAGCGTTTCAAGGAGGCCGAGGTGCGGGCATCCGTCTCACCTGCAGACCCCCCCCCCCCGACTGCTGCCACCTCTGCCCGCCTCACTCACCTCTGCGCCCACTCGCCGTGCCAGCAGCCCAGTGGGCGCGCAGTCCTCGGCCTCGCGCTCCTCCTGCAGCGCCTGCGGGGAGAGCGAGTCAAGTTCACCGAGCCCAGCGCCACCAGCCAGCGCGACACCTCGGCGGGCGGGCGGGCAGGCGGGCGGGGCGGGGCCTGCCTTAAAGGTGTAGGCTCCCAGGTCCCGGCTGGCTGTTATTGTTCTCGGGAACGCACCCTCTGCCCGGGCCTGCGCCCCCACGCGCCTCTCCCCACCCATCCATCCGTCCACCCCCGCCCTCCCCCAACACGCACCTCCCGGTCCAGCCTGAGGCTCGGGCTGAGGCGTGGAGGGACCCTGAGCCGGTTCCGAGGGGAAGCCACTCTCCTGCAGGCACCTCCCAGGTGGCAGGTGACCTGGGGAGCCCCCGGTGCACGCCTCGCCCGCCAGGGACCTGCGCAGCACAGGGCGGAGGGGGCCGAGGGAGGGCGGTCCTGTTCCAAGGCCAAGGATGGACTCGCCCCGTTTTCCTCGTCTCCCCGGCCAGCCAGGCCCCGGGAAAGGCTGCCGCGCTGCCTGCCTGTGCTGGCTGACTCTGACCGCCCTTTAACTTTATCGCATTTCTTTAAATAAAGTCTGCCGGGCCCTCTTTATTGCTACTCCATCCTTCTTTCAAGATCAAAAGGTTTAGATCAAAGCCAAGATCAAACTCAGGACTTTAAATAGAAGCAACTTCGCCACGGAGTACTTTACACAAAGAGGAGCAGCTTAATGAGACGTCAGAGTGGAAAACTTTATTGTACCCTCCATTCCCAAGCACAGCCGGACTCTCATGTGGCCACTAAAGATGCCTGTGTCCTAAAATAAACAACAGGCCTGCTCCAGTGGGGGCTGCTTAGCAGTGTTTTTATTTCTAGAAACGCAAACCAAACCAAACTAAAACCTAACTCTAGAATGCAAGTAGATGCAGTCAGTTTATCCAGGTACTAAGATGCATGCGTACTGTTTGCTAAATGTCTTACACATATTAAGTGACTTTACATAAATGTCCATCCAATCACATCCAAGTTTATCCTGCTTTAAGAGGAAAGCATAGAAAGAGTTGATGCTTTGGAAAGCCTGGAAGCACGCATACGCATAAACATAAATTATCAACACTGCATTATGCAGCTGTACTTAATTTCAAACAGAAAGAGAACTTTGAACTATTCAAGCTTCATGCTACTCATAATTCCAGAGTCAATATATTTTCACCCTGGCAGACACTGCCTTTATTCAGTTATTACCCTCGGGTGTTTACCACTCTTAGGAACATTAACATAAACAACCCAATGCAAAGGGTTTATTAATAGGAAGAAAGATAACTACTACAAACTAAGTTTACACAGACATCTACGAGAACCTGTTATGGCTGGATAGTATTTAAAGGCTTTTATTTCCTGCCCTACAATTTTCATTTGATTGTAATCTCAAACACACATGTGAGATTGTTCTCAAATCCATGACCCCACAGAACCACTGGTAATATGTTCGAAACATGGATCTGGGACTCAGGCCCAGGTAACAACATTCTTTCCCATTCCAGCCCAGCACAGGGACCACAAGGGCTCTGACTCAGGCCAGAGTTCCAAGGCTCCCAGTGTGATCCTTACCCACAAACCCTTCCATAGAGAAGCTACCTGTGCATTTCCAAAGGAAATTACTATTCCATCGCCTTGCTTTGCTGAAAACACATTACCCGTCTCTGGCTCTTAGTTGAAGTATCATGGCGGAAAGGCCTCTTCTCACTATCAAGTTCAAATTCTAATATTCCGAAAGGATCCTAACAGCTGCCTTCCTTTACTCTTTGTCGCTGGGACCTCATGTTTAGAGCGTTAAATCTTTCTGGACTTCAGAAAGCACATCATCTTACCATTACTATTGTGAATTTTATAAAATGAAGTTACATTCTACATTTCTTACTTCTGAAGAGCCAGTGTTAAGATGCTTCCATTAAAACCCACATTCTACATTAGGCTCATTCAGTTTGGTACAATATTTATTTACTTATTTATTTATTTGAGACAGGGTTTCTCTGTAGCTTTGGAGCCTGTCCTGGAGCTAGCTCTTGTAGACCAGGCTGGTTTCGAACTCACAGAGATCTGCCTGCCTCTGCCTTTAAAGGCATGTGCCACCAACACCCGGCTGGGTATTCATTTTTAATTTATCACACATAGCGTGGGTGTGTCCACGCTATGCCGTGTGTGTGTGTGTGTGTGTGTGTGTGTGTGTGTGTGTGTGTGTAGGTTAGAGGACAGTCTGTGCGAGCTGGGTCTCTCCTACCTTGTGAGCTATGGGGATAAAACTCAGGCGGTCAACCTTGGCAGCAACCACCTTCACCTACTGAGCAGTCTTGGCACCCTATTATTTATCTACTTTTATTAATTATTAACTGATCAAACGTCTTACCTCCCCAAGCAGACGTTAAGCTCACACAGCAAGTATTCAGTGTTTTGAAACTGAAGAAGAACTGGACAGCTCAGTGGATTAAGGCTCTTGCTACCAAGCCTGACAGCCTTAGTTCAATCCCCAGGACCCACATAGTGGGAGAAGAGAACTTACCCCCACAGGTTTTCCTCCGGCCTTCACACTCATTCCACGGCATCCGTCCAACACACGTTCATGCACCAAGTAAATAAATACATGTAATAAAGTTTTATTTAAAGTGAATAGAAGTAGACAGGGACAAAGGAACGCAGTCCAAGTCGGGAGAGGAATCTTATGATGATTAATTTCTCTAACTCCCAATTTCTTTAACTGCGAGAATACCATCATTTGCGAGAAGCTCCGGATTGTGCATTTGAATATAAAAAAGAGAGAGAGAGGACAGTTCTAAAATGACTTAAAAAATAAAAACAGAAAATGAAAGGTCCATATACAAGGATAATTCAAATTACATCTCAAAATGGTGTCTGGGGGCTGAACTTAACACTGAAGAGAAAATGTAGCACTAGAAAAATTAATGTTTTAAATTGCTCATTACAATCTGAACACATTTCTCTGCTGTTTACCTAAATCCCTCCTTGCTTGCAAATGGATACAGATGTCAGTAGGCTGTGGAGAAATCTTTAAAAAAAAAAAAAAACAAAAAACAGTGAAATATTGCAGTTGGAGAAGGATAGTCTAGAATCTTCCAGAGTGGCAAAAGTACTTTCAAGCTATCCTTTAAAAATGGGCCATTTTATGTTCGAATTATATCTTTCTAAATGCCTCAGCTGGTTGACAGGCACATTTGGAAAGGAAGTTTTTCTAAAAAAAAAAAAAAAAAAAAAAAAACTTTTTGTCAAAGCAGTCTGTAACAGTCAAAGGCAATTTCAGAGTGCAAGGAAACGCCTTTGTGTTCAAGCAAAAGCTCTGCTCAGCACAGAAACTGGAGATTATTTTCAGAAAGAACTTCTTTCTTGGTTTTCTTTTTCAATCTCTCTCTCTCTCTCTCTCTCTCTCTCTCTCTCTCTCTGTGTGTGTGTGTGTGTGTGTGAATTACTCTCACAGGAAAAGGCAGTGAGTGATGCCAATCTCGTACTGGTAGGGGTGGGTACTCTCTTCCTGCTTTACTTGGTTAGGGGAGCATAGCACAGAGGGATGGGGAGAGTCCACAGGAAGCCCTGTAGGGAACACATGGGGAGCCCTTTAATTATTCCAACAGACAGCAAATTATGCTCCCCTGGGCAAAGCCAAGGGAGAACCATCTGCAGAGAGAAGCCAGGGACTCTGGCTCCCAAACAAGCCAAGGGCTCTGTAACTAACATACACCAGGCCTGGTGGCTCAGGTTTGTAATGTCATTACTGGAGAGGCTGTGGCAAGGCTGTGGGTTCTGGACCAGTTTGAGCAACAAACAAACCAACAAAACAGAACAGCAGGTACCCACGGGGTCTGGAACAGGAGCTACCTTTAGAGGAAGCAGCAGGAACAAGTTAGGATTAAGAGCAGACTGACAAAATGTTACAGCTTTAAATTTTTCACGAATGTAACATAACTTATGCCCTACTTTCTCTGAGTTTAGAACTGTTTATAGCTCGCATGTTGTTGTCCGTTTCATCAGTGTTACGAAGAAGGCCCGAGTTTCTCTCTCAGGAGGATTTTAGCCCTGTTAGGCGAGTGTAATCCCACAGCATAATGCTCAGAAGAGAAGCTTGGCCCACACCAGATGGACCACTATGGGCTCTGCTCCCTGCCTATTTCCCCATCTATAAGTGTGGCCCTGAACTCATCAGTGTCACCCAGAACCTTTAGCAGAGACCGATCAAGTAGTCAACTGTAAGATGCTATTTGCCCCCCCCACACACACACACACTGTTAGTGCTGAGGATTGAGCCTTAGTGCTGTGAACCCTAAACAAGGACTCTGCCACTGGGCTGTGACGTACTCTCTGCCCCAAGCCTTGTAATCTTTGCCGTCCTCTCTGACAGGGTAACTAATAGCGCTGCTACTAAAAGTAGAGAGATGCATAGATGTTTAGATGACAGATAGATGACACCTACAGCATATACTTCCCAGATATCCCTGGGCTACTGATGCTTAAACCCCTACAGGACATTCTTAGGTTCAGCCAGACCTCCATGAAGCTGGCCTTAGACTTTATCTCCCTGTTCTCCAGGAATGGCCTCTTTCCATGTAGGTCTGGTGGGATACCATCTATCTTTATAGACGGACAGAGAGAGAGAGAGAGAGAGAGAGAGAGAAAGGCTTCATAAATCCTTGCTGTGCTTTCCAGACAGAGAGAGCTATTACGTTTGTCATTTTTACTTCTCTCAGGCATCAATGTCAGGGATGGTCAGACTCGACTCCTACTTTGTTTTTAACTTGTCGTCACGTAGTTTATCGGTCATCCCCCAAATTTATAGCTTTGGCGGGGGGTGGGGGGGTGGGTAGGGGGGCTCCCTTAGCCAGGACTCAGGAACCTCAGGGATGGTTTGGTTTGCTGAATATTAGCTCTGTTCCTCACCCACCTTCCTGCCAAGTTCTGCTGTGTTTATCTGCTTTGGAAACCGCTTTAACTCCATTTTGGGCAGGAGAGGTATTTATAAATAAAGTATTGGGATTG